CACAATTGCTATCTGACTCGTATCCTACTTCCATGGCGTCGTCATCGTTACTATCTAATAAGTATGCATATCTGGAACTGACCAAAAGCAAGTTGCAAGCATTTTACCTTGCGAAGTCTTGTTGTGGGTGTTTTCGGGGTGTTCACCGTGCCATGCCTGCGGCCCTAAAACACAATAGAAGTCTGAAGACGCATACACACACTCTTTATCAGCTTACCTCCTCCCATTCGGTCTGGCGCAACCGGCGCAAGAGAATCTTTTCCCTAAAATCTTACTAAAGCTTTGTATCATTCGCTATGAAATCGTTAACATACCTGAGGCTGCGAGCTGATTTGTAAAGCATTCCCTTGATCTCGCTCTGCTCGGTCTCTGGTTGATCCGCCAAGACCCACTCCGCGATCGAAGCTTTTCGAGATAGGACTAGGAGTGCGCGGACTGTATGGAAAATTATACTAAAGTGGAGGCACATTATCGTAAAAAAGTCGTACCCATTTCCGCCTGCGGGAACCTGCTTGTTTGCTGGAGGTGGTGCTAAAACAAATATTTTGTGATTCAAAAAGCAAATGATGTGATAATTCTGATTATCCATGGAAATCGAGAGAAAAGCGAGAAAAGAAAAATTACAAGGTGTCGGCGTCCTCGGGATGAGATCTTTTTCAGTCAAAGCTCGACCAAGACTCGGGATAATTCCTGTAGGCAGAACTCTGAAACGTAAAAGTATGTTACAACATTCTAGCAACGAATTCTTGAAACTTGCGCCTACAATTTCAAAATAATGAAGAATACTTTTTTGCGACTATCACTGATTTTCCGATACGTATAGATACTTCTAGCACACAAAAGCAAACAAGATCCTATTTTTGCAAAAAATAATTTTCTCAAGAGAACAGCTTGTTGAAACAACAAGCACGCCACTGACAACGTATGAGTATGATCTTACCTTCTTGGAGGAACCGCCATGAATCCTGGTTGCTGAGGAGCGGGAAAGGGAGTTGCGATTGTTTGATTAGAAGGTGGGTAGGGCTGCTGCGTCATAGGTGTTGGTGCCACAGCACATTGTGCTTCCACCTAAGCAATCAAATATAAACAAGGATGACTATACGGTTTGAAAAAAACACACCTTTCCAACCAAGGGAGGCTGTGGAAACGGAGGCTGCGCTTTCGGAAATTCCGGGCGATGCATTGTTGGACAAGGGAAGAAATCCCTGTGTTCTGCCGATACGGGCGCCTGAGCATGTACCTGTGGTGGCTGCATAGGCGATGGGGGCACCGGTGGAATTGGATAGGGAGCTCTTGGTGTTTGTGGCAGAGCAGCCATAGGTGCCCTCATCGGGGTGATCGATGGAGGTAATCCCGGTAACGAAGGAGGATGCAGAGGCGGTAGCAGTCCTGAGACTGGTGGCATTTGAAGAGGATGATACATCCCCGGTGGCATTTGTGGCTGTATGGGAGTCCTTTGTAGCATCTGTGGATTTGTTGGCGGATAGGAGATCGGCCCACTAGGCTGGGCTCCTGGAAATAAGCTAGCATAATTTTATACTTGAGATTTGTCGAGTCCCACCAAGAATAGGTGGTGGTGGAGGTGGAGCCACAAGAGGTGCGTTCGTGGATGGCAGCTGCTCCACATGTGAAGTCTGACTTGAAAGCTCTGGTGGTGGTGGTGGAGGCGGCGGCACAGCGATGTCTGAATGTACAAGCGTATTTTTACAGCCTAGCCCCAGCACAAATGCCGGCGACTCCGCTTTAGGCCTCCAACAGAGTTCACGCGATTTGCGATTCTCCCAGCAAAACAAACAGTTACGAGTCCACTGCATGTCATGCATCTTGCATTTCGGTTGTGATTTCTCCAACACAACGTACCACAAGAAATGCAAGATGAATGACAAGCAGTGGACTCGCAACTGTTTGTTTTGCTGGGATGATCGCCGGCGATGAAATCGCGTGAACTATGCCGGAGGCCTTAGGACATGACTTCATTGATAAAAATGATCTCTAAGGGCCGCATGCATTAACATCCCCGCTGGGGAGG